AAGATATATTATAATATTTATCTAGTTTATAAAAGTAATGAATAATTAATTATTTGTTATAAATACATTGAATTAGTAGATAGTCCATAAAATTAATACATGAACAATCATTCATACTCATTATGATATACGAATCTTTTTGAATAAGAATGTATCTATTTATTATGATACTTAATATGGTGAGCTTTAGAGTGATTTTTCACTCTATAAATAGGATTGTTTATTCACTATTGTAGTATATACGTATGAAACTTATATATATTTGAATAAGAAGAAAGTATTCTCTTAATCTACTTGTCTTGTCTTCTTCTTATAATCTTGATTTTATAACATCATTCTATATTTATTTATTTATTAATATTTAAAGAACTTAAATTTAATATGGGTTATTTGATAAAATTTATTATTTATGGATTTTTTAAAGCTTAATTCTTATGTCAAATCAACTAACGGAGGATTATTATTGGATAGATAAAATAATTTTAAAAACCATGTTATATGATTGATTTGGCGTACAATTTTAATACTTTAAGAGTATAAAATAAAAAAATTGTTCTTAGATTGATCTTGAATATATAGAATTAATATGAATTTTTATTTGCTTTTTTGGTCTCTTGTAAGAAATTTTAGTAGGAGTATGTATCATGTGGTGTGATGAATTTATGTTTATAATTAGAGAAAAAGCCATAAAATTAATATTAAAATTGTCACGAATTTTTTAAAAAAACACGTTAACTTTTCAATCAATCTATTATCTTAATAAATAATTTTGAGCAGATATAATTATATTATTTTTAGTCCATCTTAAAGAATAGTGTGTACTCTCTCAAAGAGAGTGAGCATTCTAAAATAACTAATATAATTTTATTTTTATAAATATTTCGTTATAAAATATATTTTTTTATTTTTCATATTATTTTAATTTTTTTCCTTTTTATTTTTTCTCTTTCTTTATTCTTTCTTTTCAAAAATTCATTATCATCTCCTTTCATTGAAGCTCCTTACTTTCAATGTCATCATTTTTATCACAATTTCACATTCCTTTTTTATTATTATTACTATTAGTTTTACTCTTTTTAATTTTAAAATTTTATCTAAATATTCTATTACATTTCTAACAATTCGATAAACTCATTAGATTTCAGGATAATTAGGAAGTATCATATAGTTTTTTTATATTCGATTTCAATTAAGTTCTTTCAATTTTTGAGAAATTAATTGATTCTTTTAGAATTATCATTTTTAATTTTGAATTTATATGAAAATGAGTAATTAATGATACCTTCAAAATTTCAAATTTTCTTTAAAAATAATTAATTTTGTCATCAATAATTCACTAAAATCTTAATAATAGTATGAATTTTATAAAAGAAATTTGATCGGAGTAGGAGAAGAAAAAGAAAAGAAAAAAAATGAAAGTGGATTTCAATTTGACATGGGGGGTGAGAGGTGAAGAAAAAAAAATGGAGGGATGAATCACTTGAAAGTGGGAGGTTGAAAATGAAATGAAATTTAAGAAATGTCAAAATTAAAATTCAAAAAGTAAGAGACAGAGAGAGAAATAAATAAAGAAAAAGATAAAGGAAAAATTTAGAATGAAAAAAATATATATTTTTAATTAAATTAACACGTGTCATGTAATTATTGGTATGTGAATTCGCTTGCTTTTTAAAATTTGAAGCGAAAAATGATAAAAATAATATTTATTCAAAATTGTTTAGTGGGTAATAAGACAGTCGTAAAGTTAATGTGTCTTTATAAAAATCCGAGACAACTTCAATGGTGATTTTATGTTTTTTCTCTTATAATTATCTATATTACCTTAAAAGCATAAACTCCAAATTTAAATGTTAAATTATTATAATATACTAACTTAGCTTGTGACTTTTTCAATGAGTTGTGACTTTTTTCAAAGGGTTGTAATTTTTTCTATTGAGTTGTGACTTTTTCAATAAGTTGTGATTTTTTCAAAAAACTGTATCTTTTTCAATAAGTTGTAACTTTTCCAAAGAGTTGTTTCTTTTTCATTAAGTTGTAACTTTTCTCAAGTGTTGTGATTTCTTGGAAAGGTCGTGATTTTCATATAAGACACAAAAAATATTTGTTCATAACTATCCTTTCTTACTATAAATATAGGGACTTTCTCTAATTTTTCAACCATAATTTTTTTCTCTTTTTCTACTCTTCTTTTTCTTGTATTTTAAATTTTTTTTGTGTAATTTATTGTCGTTGAGTGATTTCAACGTTTAGTGGAATATGAGGTACCATTATTCTAATGAATTAAATCGTTCTATCCTAAGATGTTATATTACATAACCTCGAGATTTGAGAAAAAATAATTTAATTTTAATGATATAATAATTATTTTTTTGTTTAATATATACATTCATGTAATGCTCCAATATATGAAGTTAGCATGATGTAGCCTAAATTCATTTGTTTTTGTTAACAATTCTTCTGTGATTTAGATATATGATTCTGAATAACTTTTTCCATAATTTAGAGAATTGTCAAAATTTGTTGTTGATGCTCAAGACGAAAAAATGACTTTATTTATCAATGTCACTTATGTGGTTTAGACTTCCAAAAAGTTTGTTTCAAAGTACTACTATATAAACTTTCCCTATTGTTTTACTTATTTACTATCAATATTTTAGTATTTTAGACGAAAAAAGTTCATGTAACTTGTAATATTTCACGTTGAAGTTAGTATTAGTTTCATTTTTATTGTTTATTTAATAGTTAATTTTATGAGATAAATAGTTTCATTAATGCAAATATACATTTATATTTAGGTATGTATTTTAATTTAAACTAAAGTATTATATATGTCACAAATGTATTATCAAATTCACGAGATCTTCTAAATTGAACATATATTATTCTAATATGTTCTGAGGTTTTTTTTAAAGACAAAAATGTGACCAACACTTAGATCCAACTATACCTCAACATTTTTTACTGGTCCCGCTGTTGCTGAGTAACTTTTGAATATCAAACGAATCTTTTCATAAGGTAATTTTGATATGTCTGAATTTCCTTTTTTGCTTGTTCACATTTTAAGTGTAATTTCTATTTTATGTATGATTGTCTCTAAGAACATCAATTAAAGTAAATTTGTCTTTTGATCAATGGGTTAAAGTTAGATTTTTCTTTAATTAATCGAGTTAAAGTAGATCCGTTTTTTAATCAATCAAATTGAAGTACATTTTTTTTAATCAATCGAATTAAAGTAGATCCTTCTTTTGATAACCAAATTAAAAATAATTGTGTCTAAAAACACATCGATATAAATTAAGATCAATCGAATTGAAATAGATTTTTCTTTCTATCAGTCGAGTTTACGGAAAATTCATTTTTTATCAAAGATCAAATTGAAGTTTTTTTTTAAAAAAAAATCAATCAATTTAAAGTAAATCCTTTTTAAACACAGCTATAAAAATTAGGATCAATTGAATTAAAGTAGATTTTCTTTTCTATCAATCTAAATGCAAGTAGATATCAATCAAGTTTATGGTAAATTCATTTTTTTTTTATCAGATCATATTGAAGTATATTTTTTTAATCAATAAATCCTTTTTAAACACATCGATAGAAATTAAGATCCATCGAATTGAAGTAGATTTTCTTTTTTATCAATTGAAATAAAAGTAGATATCGAGTTTGTAGTAATTCATTTTTGATCAAAGATGAAGTTAAAGTACATTTTTTCTTTTTTTTAATCAGTCTAATTTTCCGTTTTAGATTTAATGCATTTCACATTTAAATGTTCATTTACAGTAATAATAATTTTATATTAAATGTGTCATTTTCAATTTTATATGGGATGCTATTTGATATCATTTGCGTCACTACATATGATTAGTTTGGTTACATAAATTCTTAGTAATGAAACCATTTTTTCGTCATTCAATCTTATCAGTCCATTTTAGTCAGGGTTGGCCTAACAAAGTACAATTAGTGGGCCCATTTTAAGGAATTGAGGCCCAATATAAGTAGGCCCAACAATGTCCAATGAGTGGGCCCATTTTAAGGAATTGAGGCCCAATATAAGTAGGCCCAAGTCCAATGAGTGGGCCCATTTTAAGGAATTGAGGCCCAATATAAGTAGGCCCAACAAAAGTCCAATGAATGGACCCATTTTAAAGAATTGAGGCCCAATATAAGTAGGCCCAACAAAGTCCAATGAGTGGGCCCATTTTAAGGAATTGAGGCCCAATATAAGTAGGCCCAACAAAATCCAATGAGTGGGCCCATTTTAATGAATTGAGGCTCAATATAAGTAGGCCAAACAAAGTCCAGTGGGCCCATTATAAGGAATTGAGGCCCGTAAGCCCAAAAGTTTAATTTGAGATTTGGTAGGGGCCGCGCGAACGCTGACCCCCTCCAAATAATGCGACGTAGGTTCGGCCACTTAAGGCCGACCTTAGGCGGGCACCCCTCCAAAGTGCAATGGAGGTCACCAAGGCCATGGGCCTTAATGATCGCCCATTGACCCCGGGCTAATATGCCTAACATTGTTCCTTTCCTTTATTTTTATATTACTCCATCTCTTTCCCTTTGCCTCAGCCGATGTGGGACAGTATTCACTTTACTCACTTCCATTTTTGCACTCTTTCTCAACACAATTTTATATATAGTAGCTAAGTAAAAACATCAAAATACTTGTCACGTTTGATTTCTCGAAGCTAAATTGAATTAGACTAATGTTGAGGTGGCAAGGATATTTGGACAGAGGGGGTAACATTTTGAATCTTTTTGAGAAATATTTTCAATCACACAAGGGAAGTGTCTTCAGTTATATCAATCCCACTTTATTAGGTAAACTTAATGTATTTAGTAGAGCATCAGTTACTTGTAAATTTTAATAGAGCACTAGTATTTGGTCACTCTCCCTTTACAGAAATGGCAATATCTTCAATGACAGAATCAAGCAAAGCTGTATAGTTAGGCATTTGCAATTAGACAGCATAAATGTACTTAAAGAAAAATCTGAAAAATTAAGAAAAGACTTTAAGATTCAATTGCCTAAAGAAAGAATACATGCCTCTCTTTGGAAGTCAATCACCAATCAACTTGGTAAAAAAAAGAACCAAGTAATGTAAAGACTATCCACAAAGATCTTTATATTGTCTTCTTGATTGATTGGCCTTTGCAGAAAAACTTCAATGAGTACATTAGGCTCAACAGAGATGAATGAGAACGCTGCAACGTTAGCTGATGGACAGCAGCAGAAAATGACTGAAGAAGGCAAAAGTAAGACACCAAGACACTCGCGATGGACTAGGCAAGAGACACTTGTTCTCATACAAGGGAAAAAGATTGCTGAGGAAAGAGCTCATAGGGGGCGTAAATCCACTTCTGTTTTTGGATCAGACAAGCCGGAACCCAAATGGGACTCGGTATCTTCTTACTGCAGACAGCATGGAGCAGATAGAGGACCTGTTCAATGTAGAAAACGTTGGAGCAACATGATCAGTGATTTCAAGAAAATTAAAACATGGGAGACACAGGCATATGGAAGCAGTGAATCTTATTGGATTATCAGTAACGATCTCAGGCGAGAGAAAAGGCTACCAGGTTCTTTTGACAGAGAAGTCTACAATGTCTTGGATGGGAAGGAATTCACAGCAGAAGCGTACCAACTAGCTCTGGTAACCATAACCACAGATGAAAAACTTGACTATGGTGTAGAAACAGTTGAAGAAGAGGAAGCGGAAGAGGGAGAGGAAGAGAATGACAATGTTTCTCATACCGGGGAATATACTATGGAAGATGATGTTATGCATCCAGCAGCGGAGGAAGTTGGAAGCAGCCCACTGAAGGAACACATCGTCATAGACAAAAAAGCTAAGTCCATTCCCTCTCCAGTGCCGAGATCAGGTATACGTCCTTCAAAAACTTGCTGTTCTTTCAACCAAAACCTCAACACAGAAGTTAGCTAACTTTTATCATCAGAACATATCTGTGATTAGTTGAACGCTACACCGATAAGATTGAAACAGTAAAATACATTCCTCTGTATTGTTCTCAGGTACAGCTGAAGGAGAACAGCCTGGACCGGATTTCTGGAATAGCCCCATGTACAAGGACAGATTGAAGAAAAGAAGACTATCACCAGATGGTTGTATTGATAGTAATCTGGGATATAAACTGCTGAAAACTCTGGAGAGAAACACCAACATTCTTCATTCACAACTTGATGCTCAAATGGAAAATCGTCAACGGGAGATGGAGCAGCAGAAGGAACAAACTAATAGCTTGATTGCTGTTCTCAATAAGGTAGCTGATGCAGTAGCAAGAGTTGCTGATAAGATGTAATGCAGTTACCTTGATTTATTTTTGTTTTAGATGAACTAAGAAGTAGATTTTGAATGTTTATCGACTATCATTGCTCTTGACAGTGATTATGATGTCTGGTTAGTTGGTGAAACTTGGTTCTGAAACTTCACATCTTTTTGACAACCATAAGATTTTATTTACATCTGCTTTCAACTATGAATGACAGTCTCTTCAGTGATGAATTTAACTAGCAGCAGTCTATCTGAAAAACTGATGATGATGACATGAAAAGCAAACACTTAGCAAGAGAATAGCGTATAATTCTTTGCTTTTTCTTCCTTTTAGGTTATATTAGAAATAAACAAGATGAATGATATGCCATAAGAAAGGTTGAGTGGTCCTCAATTAAACCATTAGAAACTCACAGAAATGTATCCGTTTCTTTAAATTAAATCATAGGGGGAGAGGCTATGTTTGTAAAGCTTCACTAGAGAATTCACAGGTTCAACCTCATCTCTAAATTGGATTACTTGATAACGAATTCTACTCTGTTAACTCCAATTTATATGACATTATCTCCATTTTTATACCAAATGCTTAACGCCATTCCATTAATAACACTATCTTATAACTTTCATGACTTCAAGAAAATGAAGGAATGGATTTCACAACAATCAAGAATATTTTAGGAAAAAACATGGCGGAGCTGCTGGCAGGAAACCACAAAAGTTAAGGATGAAAATGAATGAATCAAAGCCACCCATGATGTTTAAATTTACATTTCATAATATATTAATAATATCGACAAAATTTTTCCAAGTCAGAAGCAGAATTCAGATACATTGTGAACTATTATACAAGTTAGAAACTGAGGAGTGAAAGAACACATTCATAATAAACACTCAACGGACTTCCTAATATCTAACCAGCAGTGAAGAAACATTGCCAAACAAATGAGATCTCACTTGCCTTTCAATCTTAAGCAGGGACAGCTTCAATAAGCTTTGCAAAGTAAAATTGTGTGGCGATCAAGCCTCTCTTCTTTATCTTCCATCCAGCTTTTTGCAGTGCCCTCTCCACATCAGCCTCTGCATGTAGATATGCTCGTGTAGCCTTTGAAGGTCCAGGGAACAACTCTCCAATCCTTTTTAACAAATCATAATAAAATGTTTTCGGTGCAAAGCTCAGGATCAAACGGTTCTCAGCCAATGATGCAAGATGAGCAATCATACCATCAGCCTTACTTTGGGGGTAATGTATCATAACATCTAAGCAAACCACAGTGTCATACTTCCCATCCAAACTCTCCAAGTCCTTCACTTCAAATTTCGGCATTACTGGTGCCAGGGATTGGTCATCTTTACCCTTGAACAACTCCTCTTGCGCCTTCATTAAGATTAAGAAGTATTGTTCAGTTCTCAACTCCAAAAAAGCCATAATCTTAATACCAATTACATTCAAAAAACAAGTTTCTTTCTTTAAGACAAATCAAGGGCTCGTTTTGAAATCTAAGATACACTCAAAAGCTGCCGGTGAAAAGAAAAGGTACAGACTAAGATATTGCATTTCCCACACTGTAATTAAGTTTGTTCAACCTTAGAGAAGCAGAAACAAATTTCTTATTCCATCACTACTCAAACTGTGATGCAGCAGCATAGGCAGGTCTAACTCTAACTCTTTGAACCTTTGACTCAAACTACTTCCTATGTCCAAATTTACGTAGCACGATTTTCTTTCAGGCCTGTCCCAATTCACCTTTCTAGATTTAGAAGCAATTTAATTTTGAACTTTCTGTTTACTCTTTTACTCACAAGTTTAGTTTTTTTTCCTCTTAAACTTGATAACAAGTCAAAAAATGAGACGGAGGGAGTATTATTTTTAAATATATATGGAAACTTTCTAACATTATTGCAGTACTTATACTTGCTTGAGTCGGGGTCTATCGGAAACATCATCACTATCTTTGAGATATGGGTAAGGTCTACAGTACATTATACCACCCCTACAACACTTTGGGGGACTATATCTATCCATCCACAAACATAAAATTTTGAATACAATTATTTAACAAATAAGCTCGGAAAAGAAAATATTACACAAAGATCACCTGTTTTTGGGCTTCAGCTACCATGGAAGCTGAAATGTCACTAGCTGATACAATGGCACCTTCTTTAGCTAACGGAATCGACAAACAACCGGTCCCACAACCGGCGTCACATACAGTAACTCCCTGTAGAGATCCCTCTTCCGTCAACATTTTCATCACATTCTCAACCGTTTTTGAATGTCCCAATCTTATATCCAACTGCACTTTATTCACATCATCCGTATCACCATATATCTTCTTCCACCTCTGGAATCCATTGTTATTGAAATACTCCCTCACCACCTCCTTATCACCGCCTCCGACCTCCTCCGCCTGAAGTTGCCGCCGGCGCTCGGGGTCGGCGAGCGATAGAATAGCAGCAAGTGCCGCCACTGAACTACCTCCAAGTACGGCGAGAGTCTTACCGTCCAACGAATCGGTGACGGCGGAGATGTCGGTAGCGGCGGAGAGCGGCGGGATGGCGCAGATGGTGAGGTTCCGGCGGTTGTTTGGCTTTGTGCATTTTGGATGATTGAGTTGGGGATTAGGGTTTAAGGTGAAGTTGACCGGAGAAAACAACGGCGACGAGAAAGCCATAATAGTTGGAGTTGAGTTCGAGCTAAATTTGGTGGTGGCCGGAAGGTAGTTGATGATAGTGTGTAATCTCGCGGGATAAGGATATGATTCGTTGCCATTCGTTACCGTTGGGTCCCACCAACCTTCTAAAAATATAATTATTACCTGCGCTTCGTGTCTACACCAAACTAATTGAAATAAAATTTTATCGACTCTTAATACATACATGCATGTCAATATATCTGAATTAGTTGATTATCTAAACTTAATTTACTTCACCCAATTTAAAAACTAATCGATTTGAAATATATATTAATCGATTTCAAAATTAATGTGTCTTCGAATAAGGCTTTAAAAGTTTTTTTTTAAAAAAAAGTTGTTTAGCTTTTAAACAATATATACTTTTGTTTAAATTTAAAATCAAACAACTTAATTTTCTAAAATAAACCCTAAATAAGTATTTTTGGCCTCGACCAATCACACTATTAATAGAGTTCAAATTATATGTTGTTATTATCGCTACATAAACAAATTTTATACTATAAAAAAACAAGCCTTCTTAAAATATATAATTTTTTTTACTTCTATTTGTGAGAATTTGTTCTTAAAGAAATCTTCAAGTTACTTAATTAAACTACATAATTTAATAGAAAAAATTATTAAACTTGAGGATTAGATAATTTTTTAACGTATATAAATAAAAGATAGAGCGAGGGGGCGTTTAGTTCTCATAATTTGTGGGGATTATAATGTGGTAATTAATACTGTAATAAATAGATTGTTATATAGTGATTAATAATGAAGATATTGCTATTGTAACGATAATTGTTAAACAATAATTTACTTTAAGTGCAATTTTATCTTTAAAACAGTCTAAATAGAAACTTTTGCCTATTTTCATTCTCTTAATTTATAATGCTACATAAAATTTACAAGGTGCAAGTGGACACACATTGCACTGGCTTCTTTTAACTACTATATATGCTGGAGCTTTATAGCAAGTTGAAATTTGTAACAAATGGTTAAGGCCAAAACTATCTATAGTTTTTGTTCTGCAAAATTGATTAGCACCTCGATTTATCGACTCGAAAAAGGGCACACTATGTTGACTTGTTCCTCTTCATTTCAGATATTTCTTCATAAGCCATGGCAGGAAGACACTATACTGTACCATTAACATTCTCGATATCGTCTTTAGTCAAATGCATCTTGCCTTTGTCTCGTCTAGGATTTCTCTGGGTTTGATCTGGTTGCCCTCTCTGCAAAATGAACAAGATTTTAGCCAACATCACAATTACTATATTTGTCATTGTTAAGTTTGACAACATTTTGGTGCCTAACATTGAACCTAGACTATGACAGCAGAAGCAGAGCTAAGAGAACAATTTACGAGTTTGTTAGAACCCAGAAACATTGGTCTACACACTGTAGTTGTCTTAAATCCATTTAATATGTACAAATTATTAATTTAGAACTCAATCATTTGAAAGAGCTCGAATTCTAAACCCATAAGCTTCAAATGAGCAACCCGGTTGTGCCTTACATGTGGTCTACAAGCTACATGTAATCTTTCTTCCCAACGAGCTCTAGGACACCTCTGTGTGACTTGGTTAAAGGGATAAGGGTTCGTTTACCGGGACATGCTGTTATGGATGCGGGTCAAGGCCCCCTAGTTCCGTTCACGGATTATTGTTTAAGAAAACAATGGTAATATTAGAACATGAATTAGGTATGTGATTACCTTTCTCAGAACAAATGTCAAATAAAGGTAGGCTACCTCCCATTCATCTGGTGATAGAGTACCTGTTGTTAGCAACACAAGTCAGAACACAAGCTAGGGGAAACATATAAATAAGGCATCAAATATCACAACATTACTTCCAATGAAACATCAAAGCGTGAAATTCAGCAACCAGAGAACTAAGCTTACTTCGGTCTTGGTTCCCATCACCTAATGCACCGAGCCTCCTCATTAGTTCAATGAATTCTGGTTTCTTCATGTATTCATCTATAAATATGTGGTTATTCTTCACAAAAACTAGCTCAAAGTCATACTGCATTTAACAAAAGAGAAAAAAAAACTGTCAGAACAAACCTAAAAGGTGAGAGAGAGCTGCATGTCATGGTATTCCTGGATGCTAACAATGATATGTCTTCCTAAGTGGCAATCCATTAGATATCAATAACTATGCCTCATATAGCACACAAAATATATCTCCGACTTACTATAAGGATTTGTGTGATATGTAATATACTATCCTTAATTTGTGATTCATAACTAGCATCACTCATAATCAAGAAAAATCCACCAACTCAATATAACATACCATGGTCCGATTTAAAGAGAAAAATGTATTAGTTCCAAAAAGGAACTTATAAACCTATGGTTTCCCGTCTATGTTTAAGGAAAAGGGATCTACATAAAGTCAGAAAGCAAATGCTCTGTAGGGTCAGAATATATACTAACTATAAACAGGGGGCAAAGACACTTAAATACCTCTTCAGCCAATTCCTTGAAGATGTGGAAAGGGACGATCCATTCGGGGCAGTCAACGGCATCCTACAACCCAAATGGAAGCTAAAATTTATGATTTGCAACACAAATGAACAAGAACACATGATCACTACAAATCATTAGCAATAAGCTTAAAAGATGCAGCAAAGATCTATAGGAAGGTACATGGTGTACACACCTCCAGATGGAATTTGTATTTGATGCCAAAAGGATTTGAAGATTTAAATTTCTGCAACAAAATAAGATCTTAGTAACAATAATACAAAGGCACATAATAGAGAATAATACATAAATTTCTGTACAAAATTATTAGAAAATGATGGCACAAGTTACCTTCTCTGAAAATTCTTCATCAAAGCGTATCCAGTAGACACTATTACCAAAGGTCAGCCCTTCAGCTGCAGTTTCACAGAGGAAAGGGACCATATATCAACAGATCTTTAAGACTGTACAAGAACACTGCATAACACATTTCAAAAAATTTGCAATGACACCATCACTCCACTAGTTTGAGCAATGGATACGAGATCATACAAGTTAACAATATTAGAGTAATTAACAAAGTACTTGGAGGAATTTCAATGTGACTTATTCCATGATGTAAAAGGTATATACACTAGGTTCTAATCAAAGGGAAAATCCAGGAGATGTTACTGAACTTCAGCAACTTCT